AGCCACCTCCTCTAGGAAGCCTTTGTGAACTCCCTTGGCTGGCTTAGGGACAACTTCTCTGCAGTAATAGTATTTTTCATTCAATTCAATTGGTAATTATGTACTACTACTGCTGACAATAACAAAGGCTGATTTTTATGGAGCTATGTGCCAGGCGCTGTTTTGTGCTTTGTGTGCTCCTTTAATCCACTCAGTAACCATATGGGGTAGGTTCTTTTATTACTCCATTTAGCAAGTATGCAAACTGAGGCACAGAGGTTAAGTCAGCAGCTTAAGGTCACACGACTTATAAGTGGCAGAGCCAGACTGTGAACCTGGACAATGTGGTTTCAGAGCCTGCACTCCTAATGGCTGTAACATACTTGCCTCCTACTATGTTCCACTGCCTCTACTCTTATTGTGGTCATACTTCCTTCTGTTATTCCGAGAGGCTCCGATGTTTTGGTTTTTCATTTACTGGTTTCTCTGCCCACTTGTTTGGAGAATCTCTGAAAAGTTAAGAATGTGTCTTAACTTTCTCTTTCTAGGACCTAGCAAGGTATTCAGTATACAGTGGATGCTCAATAAAGGCACACACAGGAAAACACTGGAAGGATGGAGATAAGGCTATAAACTCGGGCCTAATAAAAACACATTGGGATAAAGCATCTCCAAATATGTACTTTAACAAAGCAAGCTTCAACTTCATCTTCTAAATCCATTCAGCGCCAAGGGGATGGTCATTTCTCAGGCCTGTTCAATACCAGAAGAAACAGACACAACTCAGAGCTTGGCCAGCATGATCATATCTCTGACTAGTTCGTTGGCTTCATTTAATTTTGCACATGGATCTAAGTAATAAGATGCCCTCTGAAAGCCTTGGCTGGCCACTACAAAGGAATGCTAGGAAAGATACTTGCCTTTAAAAACGCAAGGAAAAAAGATTATAAAACCTGTTTCTTAAGGTTTTCTTGGCTTCAAATAACTCAGTATGAGCATATTCCAAATACATTTTTTTTAAACCACAGCTTTGTGTTGAAAACCTCCTTTTGCTGTCCAGACATGACTTTGCCATTCTTTACCCTGGGGTTTCATAATATGTATCTTTCCATCGCTATCTAAACTCCCCTTGGATGAATATAAAAGGTGACCTTGTAGAAGGACACTCCCCTCTTTTTCTAACAGTGGGGAAGACAAAAGTTTCAAGATCTGGGACATACAAGACCTCTAGGGAGAAAAAGCACTCTTTCTAGTTCACGTCAGAGATTGAATCAGGACCGTGGGCCAACCTACCCACTCACAGATAAATGCAATTAGCCAAAACGCCCACCCTTCCTTTTTGTATCCAGAATGTAAAAGAAACCACCAACTTCCCATGAATATTGATGTCAGCATCATCTCAGTTATTAGTAACCAAATTATAAATCTGTATTTTGACTCTTGCTATCTCATCTCCTTCCACAATAAACATTGATTATTATTGAGAAGTTTACTGAGTGCAAATTGTGTGCAGGGCACAGTTGTAGGTGATGGAGAGAACGGTGAATGAGATAAACAAGGTTCCTGATATAGGAGTCCTCCTGTTGTAACAGGAGACAGAAAGTAAGTGTGCAAAGAGGCAAGTAAGACAACGTCAAACAGTGATAAGTTCTACAAAGTTCTCATTACAAGCAGTGAGTGAAATGACCTACTGAAGAGCTTAATAGTGTCTCTTTGGTAGGTGTATGGAGTTGTCTAGAAGAGGTAACAGTGGATGAATGGGTCAATGGTGACCAAGATGAGGCCATTCAATTGTTTAGGTGACATATGATACCCTGGTTCATTACTACAAAGTTTATTGCAATTATAAAATACGAAATTAGAGTAGCTCTCCTTATCTGATGGGGATATATTCCAAGACCCCCAAAGGATGTCTGAAACCATGTATAGTACCAAATTCTATACATGCTATGTTTTTTCCTATACATACATACCTAAGATAAAGTCTAATTTATAAATTAGGCACAGTAAGAGATTAACAGTAACTAATAATAAAATAGAACAATTATACTGTAATAAAAGTTATGTGAATATGGTCTCTCTCTTAAAATATCTTATTGTACTGTACTCACCCCTCTTGTAATGATGTGAGATAATAAAATGTCTATGTGATGAGATGAAGTGAAGTAAATGAGACATTATTAAGTAAAATAAGAGTCACTTGAAGCACTGCAGTACTGAAACAGTTGATCTGATACCTCAGATGGCTACAAAGTGACTAATAGGCGGGAGCCGTATACAGCGTGGATACACTGGACAAAGGGCTGATTCATGTCTCAAGCGAGACAGAATGAGATGGCACAAGATTTCACTTTACTTAGAACAGCGCACAATTTAAAACTTATGAATTTATTTCTGGAATTTCCCAGTTAATATTTTCGGACTGCAGTGACCGTGGTTAACTGAAACAGGGGAAAGTGAAACTGTGTATAAGGGGACTACTGTAGGGCCCTGGCAGATCTTCGGCTTTAAATGGCGATTGTATTCTGATCTGTCTGAACATATTTGTTTTTAGTCTCATTTTAATCCTCCTGAAAATAACATAGTCACTGTAGGAGAGTGGAGTGAACACTAGATTTATAGGCCTGGCTTCCATCTGTCTTCACTACCAGTGACTTCTAGTAAATCGCTTCACTTATATGTACCTCAATTTTCCCATATGCAAAACAGGGAATGACCCTGAATGGACTACATTGAGAAGTATGTTAGAGAATGTTTCCAGGTCTCGTGATCTCTCTTCTGTTCTCTAGTCAGGTCTATTTAGTTTTCACTTGCAAATTCTGACATGACGTTATCCCAAATGGCAAAACAGATATCAAACAGCCTTTGAAACATACAAAAGATGCTACAGTAGGCATGTTCCGCAAAGGTGAGGCTAAGTTGAAAGAAATATACCCTGTGCCTTGAGTCCATCACAGAAATCTATCTGTTACTAGATGCTGGCAGGGATACTGACTTTATAAAATAATGCTATATGTGCCCAAGAATCATGAATCAAGTCTTGAGCTCCAAAGGTAAAAAGAAAGTTGGAACCGAAATGGTGACACTTTG